GGGGGGGGGGCGGGGAAGGCACCACAGGGCGAGAAACCCTGACTCGGGTCGGTATTCCTTCCAGGACTGCAGCTCCGAGGGGCTCCTGAGCAGACCAGTACCATTGAAGCAGCACCGTGGCCTCCCGTGACCCCACCCGCGACCCTGCCCACTCACTCTTGGGACACAACTCACAGACCACAAAATGCACCCTTTCAGGGAGCACGATTCAGGGGTACCTGGCACCTGCACAAGGTTGTACGACCATCACCACTATCTGATTCCAGAACATTCTCACCCCAACAGGGAACCACGTCCCCGCAGGCACTCCCCATGCCTCCTCCCAGCTCCCGACGACCTCGCATCTGCCTTCTGCCTCCGCGACCGCTGTCCTGGGAGTTTCGTTCACATAAATGTGGCTAACACTCCACCTCGTGGACGGACCACACTTGCCTGTCCACTCATTCCTCCACGGACACTTGGGCTGTTTCCACTTTCAGGCCACCCTGACTCAGGCTGCCCCAGATCACTTTATGCCCAACGGGACTGACGTGAGAGGGAACACGAAGCCCAAAAGCTGGGGCCCTGGGGACAAACAGTGAGAACGCCCACGGGTGCCTCCTCCAGGCAACTTCACTGGGAACGTCTGGGCTCAGATAAGAATCAACTTCCACCTGTTCACCAGGTTCACTGTGCAAACAACCCCTCCAGGTGGGCACCTCCAGTCTGGAGGCCAGTAGGGTCCCAATAAGGACGTCCTTGGCCAGGACTGACCCCGGCAGGAACCCAGGCCCTGGCTTTGTAACCATGTGTCCCTCTGGGGAGGCGGGGGTGCTCCTTCCCACAGCCATTGTCGGGTAAGATCCCTGCTGTGTCCGGGGTTTCCTTGCGCCAGCCGGAGCACCTGCACACAGCGGCCCCTCTTGAACCGCGGGAGGCGTCAGACACCCTCTATCTGATGAGCGGCCAGGCACACCTGGCTCCAGGTGATGTCCCCCTGGGTCCCAGGAACAAGAACGCCAACCTGAGCCGGGACGAGTGGCCTCGGCCGTCCCCGCGGAAGGTGCCACCCAGCACCCAAGGCGCCCTGACCACCCAGCGGTGGGGGACACACCTGGAACGAGACCCACAGGGCGTAGATCTGGGCGGCCTCCTTCGTCACGGACGGCGTTTTGGCCCAGATGTGGGAGAGGCGCGCGCGGCCGGACGCCAGGTCGAGCACGGGCGCGGTGAGCGAGCAGCTGTACTGGTCGCAGGCCATGATGAAGTAGTACACGATGAACGGGGCGAACAGCAGCAGGAACAGGACGCCGGCCAGGGAGAACCAGTCCACCTCCCTGCGAGGGGCCGGGAGGCGGCGGTCACGCGGGCCCGCTGACCCCAGCGCCCCGCGCGGTCCCCTGGGTCTGAGCCAGCCCGCACCTCCCGAGAGGCCACTCAACGCAGACCCTCCCGCCACCCAGCCGGGCACCCACAGGAAGCCCAGGGCCCAGCGTCTGAGCGCAGCGAGGCCGCCCCCACCCCACATCGTCCAGGACGGCCAAACAGCAGCGCCAGAGCTGGGGCACCAGCCGGCCTGGGAGTGCTCAGTTCCTTTTTTTTAACCTCTTACTTTATACAGCAGGAAGCTGCTTACTGTCCGACAGCCTTGACAACTAACACGTTTGTAACAGGCCCATGAGACCCCCATGGCTGGCCTCCTCTCACTAAGACCACTGATCAGAAGGCGGACAAGATCCTTACCAGGCCCGGCCCCACTGCCCCCGGGGCGCAGCCTCATCTCGGACAGCACCAGCGTAGGATTTTGCAGCCATGGGGCCCTGAGGGAGGGAGGGAGGAGAGAAACACACTCTGCTCAGATCATCCCGCAAACAGACACCATCTCCTGCCACTTCCACCAGGATCACGGGCCTGCTGGGCTGACCCCTTCCCTCGACCGTGACCTTGTCCTGGACAGCATATTCTAGACAACGACCCCCGCCTGGCCTCCCTGCTCCCGCTCGTCTGGGTTCATTCTCTAAAAGGCAGAATGCCCTTGTTGCTGTGTGAACGGAGCCACTGTGGCTTGGGACCCTCTCGCCACCTGCTCCTGCCGCTTTCTGCCTGCCACCCCATGTATCCACGGCTGCAGGTACACAGGGTCCCCACCGACCCCTAAATATGCTTCATCTTGTCCATGACACCTGCTACTCCTCCATGCAGAACACGGTGCGCTGGTCTCACGTAAAAAATGTCCCCTCCTCGGTATGGCTTTTTGTTTTTCCAGGAGTTAACGGTCGCCTCAGTTTTTCTGTTTGCTGAGGTTTCCACGCCTTGTTTTTCTGCACGCTCTAACAGCTGTCATACATGTCAGTAATGTTTCCACACATTCTAACACGACAAAAGCCATCCTTGCATTTTCCCGGCCCCCCAGAGCCATTCATCCTGTACCGGTCAGTGTTCAAGCTGGCCAGCCGTCTACACTGCCTGCACCCAAGGGCCTGGAAGTCACTACCTGCTACTCCACCTTCTCAGTCACTCCTCCCACCAGGTAGAATTCTATTCATTGGGGCGCATGCTTACTGTCCGTCTCCCCAGTTAGAATGTGAGCTCCCCAAGGGCAGGAGTCACGGGTCCCATCCGCCCCTCTCCAACCAGGACCTAGGAGTGTCTGGTACATGTGGGCGGCAGGTAAATAATCACTCCACAGACAGAGGGGGAGGAACTGGATCATCCAAGCACCTACAGCTGCTCTGAATGGTTACACTGTGGAGGAAGCAATGACGCCCCCATTTCCAGAACAAGCTCACAACTGTGAGGTTTCAACATATCAGGGATAGAAAAACATGACCTTAGAAACTTTCAGAGAAAATGTACAATTAAGAATCACGTTAGCAGCCCTGGCTGGTGTGGCTCGGTGGTCAGTGTGCTGGCCCGTGAGCTGAAGGGTCGCAGGTTTGATTGCTGGTCAAGGGCACGTACCTGGGTTGCGGATTTGATCCCGGCCACGGTCGGGGCTCAAGCAGGAGGCAACCAATCGATGTGTCTCTCTCACATCAATGTTTCTCTCTCTCTTTCTCTCTCTCCTTTCCATTCTCTCTCTGAAAAGCAATGGGAAAAAATATCCTTGGGTGAGAATTTAAAAAAAGAATCATGTTAGCAGCAAGCTGGATGCTAGAACATCACGATGGAAAACTTTAAAAATGCTGAGGACAACCTTTTTTCAAACAAGAATTCTATTCCCAGGTTAACTGTCCTTCAGAGGAGAAGACACAAGGCCCAGGGGAAGGGCAGGGGAGGTCCCAGGACAACAGCTGTGCAGTGGACTCGACAGTCACCGGCCCACCTCGGAATGAGAAGAACGACGGGGGAGGGAGAATGGAGGTGATAAACTTTGCTGTGCTGGAGTGTGTAGAAAAGTTACTGACACCTGTGGCAGCTCCACTGGAGCATTCAGAAAAAAATAAAAAAACAACACAGAGATAATGCCTAGACACCTTAACAAACGGAAAAGGTGAGGCCACCGTTAACTCCAGGAAAAACAACCTCGGAGCTGGTGTGGAAAAGCCACCCGGAGGATGCTGCTAAAAGAAGACCTACCTCCTAGGGAATAAAAAAAAAACCAAAAATAAGGCAAATACATATTCTGAGCTTATTACCGAGTCCGTTCACCCGGGAGGCACCTCTGTGTCATAGCACTGAATTGTGTGGTGAGCTTGTAGCATCCTTGGCAATGGACGGCTGCAGCAGGGAGCAGGGAGCAGGGAGGCGGTTCTGGGAGGATCTTACCTTTTCCCCTGAGACTGGCAGAGGGGAGCTGGCACGGAGCATGGAGGCACCTGCTGTCTCCGCTTCTCAAGGCCGGAAGGTGGCGCCTGTGCCACGGACCACGGTGCTCACCTCCAACCTCTCGTCAGGGAGTCACGGCAGACGGAGCTCTCCCTTCCTGAACGGTTCCCCCGAAAACCTCTCAACTCGTGTGACCCAAGAGGCCTGCCTGGCGCTTCTCCACCCGCAGAATGAAGTCCTGCAGGGACACAGAGATGCGGAGGACACTCAGGGAGCCGGCATTTCAGGATCTGAGGCAGGTAGGAGCCTAGATGACATTTATTCAAGGCCCACTGTTAGAACCAAGTGAGGGGTTCACCTCAGCGCTCAGGTTCGTAATCAGAAGGGGCCGTGGTTGGTTTCGCTCAGTGGTTAGAGTGTCGGCCCCAGACTGACGGGTCTCAGGTTCGATTCTGGCCAAGGGCCAGTTGCAGGCTTCATCCCGGCCCTGGTCGGGACGCATGCAGGAGGCAACCAATCGATGTCTCTCACATCGATGTTTCTCTCTCTCTCTCCCCGCCCCATCCCTCCCTTCCACTCTCTCTGAAAAGCAATGGAAAAATATCCTCAGGTGAGAATTAAAAAATAAAAATCAGACGGGGCCCCATGTAGGGGTGCCACCCATCCCCTGGCAGCTTCTCTGCCTGGCACACACAGTGTCCACCCAATAGTAGGTACTTCGTGACAATGGGTGGGATTGGACGGAGGTCTTCATGGACATGTCACCTTGGACATGAGCCGTAAAACAGGCAGATGCACACCTGGGGGGCAGCGACAGACCCAGAGGTGTTTTCTTTGTAGACTTAAACCCAGCAGCCCGAATCAAGCCCACCTGAGAGTGCCTGTGCCCATAGGCACATTCGAGGAGCCAGTGAGAGGCCCCACCATGGAGCAGCAGAGTAACGTGGGCTAGGAGCCTGGCTCTCTACTCGCTCGCGGAACCTGAGACCTCCCTGGGTGTGCTGGGCACAAACGCCCGCGCACATGAGCATCTGCGGTTATCCTTAAAGCTGGATAAAGGCAGGTGGGTGTCCACACCTGGGAAAGGAGATGAGCCAGAAAACAGATCGGTGTGTCTGGTGCCCCATCGGCTCCCTGGATGGGAATCCCGAGACGAAAGCTAAAGGGACCTTGTTCCTGAGGGTTTGGGATGATGTAGTGAGACGGCTGAGATTAAATTTTTGATTGCTAAGCCCAGGCGGTGTGGCTCAGTGGTTGAGCGTCAGCCCATAAACCTGGAGGTCAAGGTTCGATTCCCGGTCAGGGCACAGGCCTGGGTTTACGGCTCGATCCCCAGTCGGGGGGTGCAGGAGGCAGCCCATCAATGACTCTCTCTCACCATCGATTTTTCTCTCTCTCCCCCTCTCCCTTCCTCTCTCAGAAATCAACTTAAAAAAATGTTTAAAATTTTTTGATTGCTGAGGTGTTCATTTCAGACACATCCGCCTTAATAAACAGCGCCAGCTTCGAGACACAGCCTCCACCAGACTAAACCCACTCGGCTGAGCCGCTCTCCCTTCCGGCGCCCAACTTCCCGCTCTCAGGCTGTAAATTAGAGACTAGAGAACCCGGGAACCCCTAGACATCCACCCTTGATCTAACCAAGGTGGAGCCCAGGTCTCTGTTTCTCTCCCCCGCTCCCAGCCTCGCTGTGTGGCCCCCTCACGCTGTGTATCCCCAGGACCTGTCAGTAATAAACCTGGTCCTCTGAGCTCCTCTGTGGTTTGTGCCGAGGGCGTCCTGTGACGGCAGGAAGATCGAGCCATCAGCCACAGCACTGCCCCACTGGGGGGACCTGGGCCAGCACCCCAGGCACCCGGTCACCAAGCTGGGACCAACAAAACCAGTGGCTGCAGCCCCATGGCATCTTGAGGGCTTAATGATATGAGACCAGAGACCCAGGACCATAGGGCCGGGGACCAGCACTGTGAATGCCCAGGAGGCCCAATGGTCAGCACTGAGGCCACGAGTTCCTGCAGGACCACTTCCTGTTGCCAGCATGTCCCCTCAAGGAATTCGAGTTATGTGACCATGAGCAGCTCTTTGCACTCGCGAGGCCTGGTTCCCGTCATAAAACAATCACGCCACCCGCTTTGTCAAGGAAAAGAGGTCGGGTGCCAAGGGCTCAGAGCCTTCCACAACTCTCGTCAGAGTCCCCGAGAGAGCTATCGCCAATGCTGCCGTGGGCACCATGCTACTGCGGCCACCCATGCTCCCGCGGGCACCATGCAGGCCCGGGAAGGCTCAGCTGGGCTTGGGTTCCCACTGGCAGAGGTTACAAAACCTACCCGCCCCTGAGGGCGAAGTGCACCCGCAGCCCATCCCCATGGTCAGTTACTCCTCAACTTAGTGGCTTAAACAACAGTTTTATTGTCTCTCACTGTTTCTGTGGGTCAGGAATTTAGGGAGACACTGGCCAGGCAGCAATGACTGGGGGTCTCCTGGAGCAGCTGCTCTTCAGGGGGTCCCCCATGGGATAGCCTGGGCTTCCTTGAAGCATGGTGGCCTCAGGGCCCTGGGAGGGGGAGGTGTGGGGCTCCTCCCCCCACAGCGAGGCTCCAGCAAACTCGGCGGAGGTTGCCTTTTCTCACCCGGCCTGGGAAGGTGTAACCATCACCCCCTGAACACACTGCCTCTCAAGGGGTGGCAAGACTTTAGAAGGACATGAGGTATTTGGGGGCCATTGTTGGGTGATACAACCTGTCACAGGTAACAACTAGCTTCTGAGCACCTGCCAAGTTCCAGGCACCCATGATCTCTGCGTTCCCACACGGGCCCTGGACAGCTGGCATGATCGAGCCCGTCTCACAGATGAACAAGTTCAGGCAAGATGGTGGAGCGAGCTATTCTCTGCTAACAGATCTAAAGGGACAGAGCTGGGGCCTTGGGAACCCCACTCTCCATGCCACACCTGAGAGGCAGTGCAGCGAAATTCAGAATGAAGGTGACGACAGCCACCGATGGGTCTCCCCGCTGGGCCAGGCCTGTTCCAATGCACGCAAAGAATCACACGTTGTCACCAGAACAGCAAGCGGTCTGTTTTGGAAACGTGTCAGTTGAGGGAGTGGTAGAGGCTGAAAAAGACATAGACATGCCTCGCACTGGACTTGGGACCAACATGAATGATAAAATCCAGGATCGGTGAGGAGGTGGCAGCAGCTCTCCCCGCGGCCGGGCAGACCAGCATCTCCTCGCAGGATGTTTCCTGAGCCACAGACACACACAGGTGGCCGAGTAAACACACAGACGTAAAAACCTCCGCTGGAGTTTGCTGTACACACCTGCAAACACTGGCAACAAGGGCATGACTGTCAAGAAAATCAGGTGTATTCCATACACTGGAATACTCAGCAGTTTTTAAAACCACTGAGCTCAACATGCGAAATGACTCCCTGGCATGTCCCGGCACAAGGACAAGCTACAAGATAGTCTATCATTAAAAAGACTATTTAACAAGCCAAGCGCCATATCCTTAAACTGGACATACAGGTGAGTGTTTTCTCTCTTTTCCTAATTTTTCAAGTAGAAATGTACTTGTATAATAAAATAATTTAACAACAACAAGAGGGTTTTTTTTTTCACAGCTCTTGGAGTTACAAGATCCGCAATTCTAGGAACATCTGCGGCTCCAACTGGGGTCTGGGAGGTCATCTGTCCCCAAGGAAGGGTGAGAATGACTGTGGAGGTGATGCCTGGGTCCTCCTGAAGCTCCCCCCACCCCGCCCTCTGCAGGCTGTGTGGTCCCTGCTTCAGCTCACCCATGCCACTCACAAGCTCCACTTGCCAAATGCTCCCAGGTGTGTGGCCCCTCTGAGCACTTGGCGCTGGAGAGCTATGGCCCTGCTTACCCTGGCACAGTTGGGGTCCCAGCTGGGGCACTTTGGAACCCTCCAGAAATAGGCGTGTGCCCTCCCTCGGTGGAAGGAAACGCGCCCAGAGACGCAGCTTGGACAGCAGCTCTAGGGCTCTGCTCCTGAAAAGCTGGAACGACTATGCTCACAATAACACAAGTTTAAAAGTCAAACGTCCAGGCCCCTGGCCTTCGTCCTGCCTCCAGCCCATCCCCAGGACTCATTAACCCCGGCGCGGTTTCGTGAGCTATTACACAACACACACCCACGCTCCCTCCTTTTCCAAACCCTGGTTCCCGCTCAAATTCTCCCGCAAGGTCGCCTCTTCCCTTGGCGCGGTCTTGGTGCGCAGCGTCCTACGATACACATTTACTCTACGAACCTGCCACTTTACTCATTTACAGCCACAAATCACATATGAGGGTTGTGTTAGCAGTCGTCTGGTTGCGCTTGGATGTTTCTGAGTTTCGCCTGCAAACCGTGCTGGGTTTTCGGGGGTAAAGTGTCCTGCAGGTGGGAGAATCCATCTTCCCAGAGCTGCTCCCCCCCCCAGGTGCCTTCAGACACCCGGCCGCAGCCCCCAAGCTTCTCAGCTCCTTCAGCCCAGCCATCCACGTTTGCTAGAATGAACAGGACTCTGTCAAAAAGGGATTAGCGCCAGCGGGCGCGGCTCAGCCGTTGAGCATCCACCTGTGACCCAGGAGATGGAGGTTCGATTCCTCGATCAGTCAGGGCACACACCTGGGCTGCAGGCTTGATCCCCAGTAGTAGGGGGTGTGCAGGACGCAGCTGATCAGTGACTCTTATCATTGATGTTTCTCTCTCTTTCCCTCTCCCATCCTCTCTCTGAAATCAATAAAAACATAATTTAAAAAAGGGGGGGGGATTCACCAAATTGGGCTCAGAAAGGGTGGGCCCTTTTCACTCCACTGGGTGGTTCCTCTATGTCCTGTCCTAACTCTGAGCACCCAGCGTGGCACTAAATGGGGCCTGGTTCCTGTTTCTTTACCTACGTAGCTGTGGGAAGAGCAGGGCGCTGGGTGCCAGGTGCACCTGGGGGCAGACCACCCGGCTCCTTCCTCAGCTCTGGCCATAAAGTCACAGTTGAAAAACGCAAACATTTAGGCAAAAGAAACCAGGCAGGCATGTTGGAATCCATGCTCTCTGGTCAGCCCTGACCCACCAGCCCAGGGGGTTGGAGGGGGAGGGTGTCTGGGACACCCTAAATGTAGGCCCTGCAGGTAGAGCTGTTCCCCCAAACCAAAGCAACGTCGCCCGCGTTGTGGGTTTGAACCTGGACCCTGCCACCCTCTACGGATGTGACTCTCCAGGTCACTTCACCTCTTGGGAGCCTCAGTCTCCTCATCTGTAAAATGGGGTGACGCCTAACACTAGGCTGTTCTGAGAAT